CCCCCAAAACAAGACACTGGAGAGGGTTGGTTGGGATGTCTGCTGGCCCTGAGCCTAGCCCTCCCTATGCCCCCCCGCAGCCTGGCCTGCCGACAGGCTCGCCTGCCACAACCGCAGCAGGAATTCAGACCATAAACAGACACTGACCCTAGGTCAGTTTGCTCGGATCAGCTTCACTTGCTGTGGTATTTTATTCCCGGGACCAATGTGGACCAGGTACAGAGGTCAGGAGCCAAGCCGCAGTTTACCGGCCAGCCTCCGCCACTGCGACATTTCTGGAATTCTACACGGACTTTGGACGTACGTGCAGTTTGTGGCGGTCAACCATAGACAGGAAGATGCAATCAGGCCCCATGTTACTGCAGGCGCACTTAGTCGGACCTTGTATCACCGCAGACATGTTCAGTTGGACCCCGTGTCACTAAAGCCGCACTCAGTCGGGCCTTCTGTCACTGCAGGAGTCAGTCAGACCCTGTGTCACTGCAGCTGCACTCAGTTAAGCCTTCGGTTACTGCAGGCGCATTCAGTCAGGCCCTAAGTCACTGCAGGCGTGCTCAGTCAGACCCCATGTCACTGCAGGCGCGCACAGTTGGGCCCTCCGTCACTGCAGGCATGCTCAGTTACGCCCTGCATCACTCCAAGCTTGCTCAGTTGGGCCCTCAGTTACTGCGGGCACACGCAGGTGAGCCCTCTGTCACTGCAGGCCTGCTCAGTCAGGCCCTCTGTCACTGCAGGCCCGCTCAGTCAGGCTGTCCATCAACACACACATCGATTTCTCGACCTTCAAGCGGCGGGTGGCGGGGAGGGGGGCTCATGAGAGATGGGAGAGGCAGGGGACTGCTGCTGGGGGCTTGAGCAGCTGCCATAGGGGTTGAAGGCCCCCCTTGCTCTCTGCAGGACACATGTAGTATAAACACCGACTCCCCCCTCTCCTCAGCGGGGGCCTTTGTGGAGCCACTGCATATCAGAGGTACTGGCAGGACACAGTGAGGCCTCTGTGACCCGGGGGGGTCAGCACACACATAAACATACACAGGACACTGGGTCTGTGTTGGTCCCATCGACTTCCATGTCAATGTAATTAACTCGCCTCAAAGCAGCAGAAGACTGGGACTTCTGGGTCGTATTCACCTCGTAAACATGGCAACCGCTTATTCAGCACTTAATAAGACGGTTAAATTCATCCGAAAAACGCAGATGATGATGCAGGATACCCCGGCTCAGCTGAGGGAGGATGCAGGGGACCGAGGGAGGCGGGTCAAACGTGGAGAAACACGGACAGCAAAGGAACCAAATGGCTTAACTTTGGAGCATATCCATACTTTAAAGAAGTAAAGACTTTCACCCAAAGCTAACTCTGCCGTGGAGCTCATCAAAAGGCTTAAGTGTCCACCCCGCACAGGACATGGCATTTCGGGGACGTGTCAGACTCTTGCGGGCCAGACCTCCACCTCCACCCGGACTTACTAGGACCCACTCTGTACCATTCCCAGAGTGCTACTGGCCCCAGCAGCTGACCGGCCCATGAGCTGAAACTGGAAAAGAACAAGGGCCTTAACAGAAGCCCTGCTGAACCCCAGGCAGAAGACCCCCCCCCCCCCGCCCCCGAAAAGGTAGGCAGGGAAACCCACCTGATCTCAAGATTGGGATGGAAAACCCCTTGGCAACCCACGTTGCTAAGAAACCGACCTAGAACCACCATCCTCGTGTGCCGCCCTTATCTGTGGGTCTGGGCCGGATCAATGAAACTCTTCTGTCGCAAAGTGTGCGGCGAGCCGACCCCATAGCGACCCTGTTCCCTCTACCGGCTCTGAGGGCCAGCATAAGGTGGAGGCTGGACCAGGCCATCAGTCCTGTCAGACCAGAATGGAACCAATAGTTCTACAGACAGCTCCTGCTGGTGTCCTCTGTGCTATGCCCAAGCCACTCTGCTCTGTGTGAGTGTGAGTGTGTGTGTGGGGGGGTCTTTAAAAAGCCCTCCATCCCCCCCCCAGGCCCAAGAGAGATAAATGAACCTGGTTTACAGTCACTGCAGTCTTCTAATACACCACAGACAATAGGACCCCCTGTAGGGGGAGGGTACTGAGTGGGGGGGGGGCCCTTTATCAAAGGACCGGGAGATGTAGTAGCCAAGGATTTAATTGTCAATTAAGCACGCATAATGCAGGCAGCACCATGACAACGCAAGCGGGATCCCCGGGGGGGCGCTATTGTCCGGAGCAGGTTGGACACTGAAAAACAGCTGATGCGGTAGGAAGGAGAGCGAGAGGAGCCTTGTAAGGGCCCCCCCCCCCTCCCCCAGCGCACACATAAGGAACCTGAGGTCACTGACTGGTCAGGTGTGCTGGAAAACAGTCCGTTTGCAAACAAACTCCCCACCTGCGGCCCTGCGTCCAGTGACTCCAGCTCACAAGCTCTTTCATGTGCCTGATATGGCCCGTTTTGCCCGCGCTGCTGCAGGCTCTGCCCTTCGAGAGCCGACACGCGCCACAGCACCGTGAGCGGCCCCGACGGACCCCAAGTGGACCCCTCGCCCTCATATTCCAGGACTCCTTACTGCCTTGGCCGGCCCGATTTTAGGGGGCTCTCCCCGACCTCATCCCGACCTCCACATGCTCAGCCTGCCCACTGTGGAGTGGAGATTGCAGGTACAATTCGGACTGCTGCGGAGATCCGAATAACAAAGGCACTCACTACAAGCACTCACTCGCCCTTTCTTTCCCTCTCTCCCTATTCTTTCGCCGACCTGCTCCAACCGTTCCTCACAACAAAAAGCAAAAAAACAATGTTGTCTCTCCACCATGAGGAAAACCTGAGCCAGCAGAAATCAGGGTTTAACATATGTGAAAGTATCAGGGCCGTCAACAAAGAGCATGAAATCAACAGTGATGGGCCGCGCCCAGGGCAGCACTACCTTGCATCTTGTCTGGTGGGGAGGCACTGGACTGCTGGTGGGGGGAGCTGTGGGACAGGAGGGAGTTCAGGCTGTGGGGGGTGCCGCTGTAGGCATCCAGGGCCAGCTTCTGCCGGAATGCCTCCTCCTTGCGACGGTTGGCGAACCAGTTGTAGACACGCACCTCCGTGACCAAGTTGGAGCCCAGACCATGGGCTTTGGAGGGAGACACACCCCTCTGCAGGCACTCTGCCCTTGTGGGGGGAGTAGAAAGGAGGGGGGGGTCGTGTCAGTGACCCAGGCGCAGATTCAACAGACCTCGCTGGTGCTCGGATCCAGAGACGCTCACCTGTTACACTCCTCCACCAGCGCCTCCCTCTCCTCCTTGCTGGGGTTCTTCTGCCGCTCGTAGGCCTGGTAGAGGATTTGCTGGGACGCCGGCCCCCACTTGAAACGGTTGCGCCGCATTTTCTTGCAGGCGGGCTCGACGCCCGCCGCCTCGTCCCCGGGCTGCCCCAGGCCCTGCCCGGACTGACTGAACTCTGAGAAAAAAAACAGGACCTGATCCTGACTGCCCTTGCCTGTCATATCGCTGCCAGAACCTTGCACTGCCTGGTTGAACTCTGAAAAATAAGAAAGGGCAGATTCAATCTGGGTCACAGGGCATCGAGCAAAGCACACAGCAGAGAAACAGGAACGAGGACGACACGGAATGCACGCCAAAACAAACCACATTGGCAACTTCTAACTGAACAAACGTTCCCTCTGTTACTGTGACATCACAAAATGTGGAATTGGTGGTGGGGCGGTGCAGCGACTGGCTTTAAATTCCATAAGGCATTCAGGATAACTCCCCCTTCCTGACCTTGGTCACTTTCTTCATTTCATTATATTATGAACTATAATATGAACTTGAATTTTAATAAACCATTTTTTTTTCAGTGAGTCACCCTGACTTGGGATTAATGGCTTGACTCTACTTTGTTTATTCATGAGAGTACAATGTGTTTCAAGAATCCAACTTATGAGACAACACAAATAAAGAAACAATTTTTAAAAGAAATACAATGACAAACGACAGAAAACAAAAACCTTGGGACCCTTTTTTGAAAGCTGAATCCACTCATGGACTCAAGTCCAAACTAAATATGGGAAAGCTCAGGACATTTTTTCCAAAAACACTGAAGTCACGACAGGACAAAAAGCCAAACGATTTTTGACGTCATTATACAACAAGCAGTCTGTGATATGCTCGTAAACAGTACTACGGGAAAATATTTCATATTTGTATACTTCTTCAAAACAACCAATTCTTCATTTTATACCAGTCGCTTAATTATGTCTGATAAAATGTTCTTATTATAAAATAATTGCACTTACGTCGGAGGATCTCCCGCTGCTTCCTGACGTACCAGGTGTAGAGCGCCGCTCGCTTCTGCGTCTTCATAGGCGTGCCCTTGTTCAGGTGCTGCGAGAGGTGCGATTGGTTGAGGCCGGTGACGTCGACAACCTCGCGCTGAGGGATGTTGTGCTGCTGCATGTAGCCTTTGATCATACGCGCGGCGCGCCACGGGTCCTCGCTGCAGTGTGGCGTAGGGAGCCCAGACAGAAACAACTTAGTTAAAGTGACACATGATGAAGAGATGCACATCAAAAACCGCACAGATAATACTTTATTTTGGAGCAGTAGCACTTATGATAAAGTATTGCATTAATTATAGACATCCGCTTGTTTATGATCGATTCCGTTCCATGGTCAAAGTGTTCATAAAAGTTTAGTACCGCACACTAGAGAAAAAGACTTTATTAAGTCTCTGACTTTCTTTGAGTAACCATGATTTAAAGACAGACCCGCAAGAACAATTGCGAAGTACACTAATAAACGATCGTTAATCATTGTATTCCACGGGCCGTAAATACTTCCAAAGGTTACTGATTGCATTTCGCTGCTAAAAATCCGCTGGAGTGAGTTTCATAACAGTCGCAGATAGTGTCTCTTGTTCACATCAAATGAAAACTATTGAGCCGCAAGCGCAGACAGCTGTTAATTCATGGTGTTGAAAACTTAAAGTTTAGTAACACGCATTTAAGTCGGAAATCTTATTTAGCAGTTTCAACTAGACAAGGCGTGGATTTAGAATTAAGAACTGGGTTTCTGCATGAAAATTGGATCATCAAAAGCACACCAGGCTGATTTTCCCTAGTCGTGGCAAATGATAGGCCTATTTCTGTTAAAACGGGGTAATTTTACCGATGACAACTTAACATCATTTTTTCGTGTGAGTTGGATGAATTATTCAAACTATACGACATGCACAGACAGTCTGTTTTGGTTATTAAGATATTCCCCTAGTCTTGCTGGAATTATTTGAGTCGATTTAATTAGGCAAAGTATTATTCATATTTTTTATTTTAGACTTTATAACTGTAAAATACATTTAACATGTCTTTACATTGTAAATATCTAAATGTAAATGTAGGCCTAACATCCAAGGCAAGAAAATGAATTATGATCCTTTCACATAATATGTTTAAAAGGGAATGTTTTGGAAATTTACGTTTTAAATCGGGAGACGACACTACATACACATTTAACAAATTTAATACTACATCTTTTCTTTAAAATCGATACATCATATTGGAGATCTCACCAAACAACGCTGTGCTATACTAAATGAAAATTCACGACCCTGACAAACTGCATTCAGGCCTGAACAGCAAAAAAATTAACACTTACCCCTCACGTCAGATTTAGACTAAGTGGCGAATTGTCGCAGGCGATCACAAATCAACACTGTGCTGTTTGTTTTGGAGAATGCCGACATTTAACACTGTGAGTCTGGATATGTTGGTTTATAACGTTCGACAATGAATAACCCGATCTCTGCTCACTGTAATCGTACGCTACTGTGTATCTTTCAGTAGATGATTTATAGAATAAAATTAATAATAACTTAACCACACGTGCTTGCGTTTTAATTTCACCGATGTCCTGTATTTGTTTATCGTATTGCGAGCGGCAGCTACAATAACGCAATTTCTGAAAAATTAAAAAACTATTTTTCAAAAGTCCAATAAGAAGAAAAATGTTTGAATTGTATATTTTGAATGCATACATTCAGTGAAGAAGTAAAACTACCATCAACACCAATAATAATAATTGTAACAGCAACAATAATTGAGTATCATTATTAAATTACATTCACTTTAAATTAAAAGATATATATATATATTTATATATATATGTAATGTTAAATTAAACTAATAATAGTAATAATATAATTAAGAACACGAGTGATCAATAACGGCACCTGAAACAAGCGCTCCCGCTTAATAGAAATAATCTACATGACAAGTTACAATTTAACAATATCTTTGGTTTCTTGGTATTATCACTACTCCTATAATTATTAATGCGGTGGCGAGAAAAAAAAACTTTTAATTACAATCGAATATGCAAGAAAATTGAAGCACATTACATGTTTCCAGATCAATTGTAGTTTCCTATGTTTCACGCTAACGATACTGGTTAATAATAAATAGTCGCTTTCTGTTGATAATCGGAATAGTAAAAAAAAATAATACGCGATGTGGATAATTAGTAACCAAAATGCGAAAAGAACAGCGCTGGCGCGTTGTTTAAATTTGTAAACACCAGAACATCATTTGAATTTTCCAGTTCCAGTTGTAAGTATTTATCCGATTGACGAATAAATGATGCTGTAAATTTGCCTGATTCAAGTCTGTTAAAAAAAATAATGAAACTTCTGAATTGTGGCCTACCGTGACCATTGAAACGGGCCAGGACAATATATTAAATTAATTAAAATTCGGTAACATCCCTTAGGCTTAAGTGAATGGACTGGCGCGCATTGCAGAAAATATTAGAACGTAATAATGTTCATGCGAAGCCCGCACAACCAAAGAATCGCCGCGGCGGGGTGCGGACACGAAAACCCGGCAGAAGTGAGCGGACAGAGGGCTGAAATTATCTGGAATCTCGATACGGACATGACATGGATACAGTCGGTACAAACGCTCTTGCGGTCTTTAATTATTTATATAATTTAATATTCTATGATTTTGTGTGTGTGGGGGCGGGGGGGGGTACACATTGTCAGAAATTCTTTTTTATGGTCTTCCTAAGCCTTATCTTTCTGGATATTAAATCACACCCTTATGTTTTAGTGTATAATATTTAATTTAAAAATATCTCTCAGGCCCAGGATGTCACACAAAAAATGTCAGCTAGGTTTGTAAACAGATGTGCATAAAGCGGTATGAAAAACGTCATTACCAGCACGTCTCACTGGAACATTTAAATCCCCTTTAGAAAGTGTCCTTGGCGCGCCTTTTCACTGGGAATCACATTTTTGGCTGCCGTTGACTTTCTTACCATCTTAGGTCTGAGAATAATACAGTGACACTCGTCCTGTCCTAGGACGGATTGTGTCGTATTGTCTCGCGGCCTACAACTGTAAAATATAAACTATAACGTTCAACTTTTTATCTGGTTTAATTAATTCTTAAACTGCATGCACTATGCATTCGAAAATTTCATTGTGAAACAGACTACTCACGATAACATTCTTTCCACTTCAGCCTTTTGCTCCACCGCCTCCTGCGTGTTAAGGGCCTGGAGCTCCTTCAGGATCGGGGGCGTATCGAAATCGTCCCCGTCCTCAGAGCCCTCGTCGCCCGAAAGCTTGCTCCCTTTGCTATGGCCGTTGGTCAGTGTATGGAACACGGGTTTGGAGTCCGAATCGCTCCCATTCATTTTCGACCCCGGCGGGGACATCTGTAAGTTTTCCATTTTAACTCCGAAGCCGGCTGGTGATGGGTCCATGTCATCCAGAGCCTGGATGAGAAGATCTTTGGTAACTCCGGAGTCCAGCAAGGCGCTTAGGAGCTCCTGCTGAAGAGGTGTCAACTTCGACACCATTTTGGAGAGCATTAAAACTCAATGTTACCCGACAAAAAAGAACAGAGGAGAAAAAATATATAAAAAAGAGAAAGATACGAGATGCTCTTTCCCCCCTTTCCCTTTCTCTCTCTCTGCCTCACTCCCTCGTCTCCAGCCTCAGAGCCTGAAATTGGGAGTCTCCAAAGGGCACCTGCTTGGAGGTCGTCGCGAGCTTTCCTGTCGGCTAGAATGATTTAATTTGCCATGATGCCTGAAGGAGGGCCGGCGATATAAAACAGCAATAAGTGGGCTGGCTTGTCCTGCATGCAAATGCTGGGAAAGTAAGCGTATTGACTGAGTGGCAGGTAGACGGAGTGTTTACACAGTACCTCCGGCGCTTTTATTGGCTTCGGTTATCTGTCAAACTTTACGTGAACTTTGGACTTGTTGGGCAAACGCTTTCTTAAAAGGGGTGGTATCGTATCCATGGTTTATTATGACCATTATCGCCGTTATTATTTCATGATTGTTGTTGTTATTATTGCTGTTATAGGTTAAACGCACGCTGCCGTTGAAAATATATACGTATGTAAATCAGGTTTCATGCCATAAGCTCAGAGACCCCAATTTAATCGCACCAATTAGTCAACAACCCTCTAGAAAGAATCAATCATGGTTTTATTGCCATTTAATTAATTGACTTAATGGGAAAGTTCATTTTTGTATGACCCATTTAAATGCGCGAAACTAATCTATAAGTGAAAAATAAGAAATATATTCTACTGGTGATTATTATATAAAATTCTAATAAAATTCTATAGTAAGCCTATATTTTAGATTTTATTAGTATCATATGTATACATCGACATATACATATATACATGCATACATAAAAACTTATATTGGCGCAAATAACAGGTTGCTAATCTTTCTTTATTTAATTAATTTTCTAACAAATTAATCACATCGCCATAAATAATCCATATATATATATATATATATATATATATATATATATATATATATATATATATATATATATATATATATACGACAGTCATACGGAATAAGATATAATTTAATATTACGGAAAATGAGATCGTAGCTATGTTTTAATGAAAGTACAGTTTTACACTTGTGCACATTAAATTGCAAGCTATGCTCGCGCTCGGTGACAAATACCAGCGTGATGTTAAAGCCGTGATTAGTAAAATACCCCCTTTTATCTGAATAAACATTTGTGCAGGCACACTCTCCCAGAACAGATCAGGCTGTGATCCCGGCCAGTTCAAAAGCTCAGGACGCACAATGGCGCGCGGGAGGTGGCACAAGTCCCTCCTGCGCGAGAAAAGCGCCGCAAAATGGCCCGCAAGGTGCACAGAATAAGTCGGGAGATCTCTCTGATTGGCGAGCTACATAGACCGCGTTTCAATATGTGGCGCTGAATAGTGAACGATGTACGAGGCGCCCATAAAACAATAACCTATATAATAATTACAAAGCACTTTGTGTGACAATTAGGCCTATGTCGTGCACGTGGCGTCTCTAAGAAAATATAATTTAATGTAATATATCGAATGAAAAAACCAAATTACCACAAATACATGGGCAAGCCCATTCATACAAAGGGAGAAAATGTGTGGGTACATAAAATGGGTGGATGGATATATCAGTTTGACATAATTTTCAGGCATCAAGCAAAGATAAAATTTAAAATAAAACCATGTTGCAGAGGTTATCATTTACCAACGATACAAGTAATTTGTGTACATTTTACTCACACATGTTAAGGAATACTCGATGACTTAAACCACGAGACCGGAAATAAACAGATGAAAATGGGAAACGGCGATGCACCTGTACCGGCTCTATAAAGCAGGTACTCTGAAAATCACCGTGGGAGACCGTAATATTGCTCTGATTACTACCGCTTAGTAGGCAACTGTATGGTGGCTGTGTTATGATAAAATTATAATTCACACCTTTATGTAGGCCTAATATGAATGAGAGGCCTACTGTTATTTTAAACACAGAAGAATGTATACTACCACTGCAATAGTCCAAATAAAAAAAATAATAGATTGTATTTCATTGTATTGTATTATTATTGTCATTGCTATTATTGCGTCTTTTAAACGCTCTTTAATTTTTACGAATTGTGTGTTAAATCTGGCAATTAAAGAAAACAAAGGATTTATAATTATAAAATATGAATTAAGATGAATACATCTCCAGATGTAATTCACATTTTAATGTCGACAACTGTAAAACTGGGATAGCATGAACTCAACGAATAAAAAAATGCAGAATATAATAAGGCTACATGTCGTTTGGCTGCTGTCTTTATCTTGGGTAAAGCAACGTCGTGGCTGCTCACAGGTAATCCTCCCGCAATCACACATTAAACGGGCGAAAACGTCAACTAGGTAAAACTGCAAATATATCCGGCTGTTTTATCATTATCAAATCGAAATATATACGGTGGGAAATGAAGAGGAAAAGTCCAGGCAGTGACTAAACCACACAAAGTTTTAGCGTTTTAGCGTGGCGTATACTGTGTATCATAGGCTGAAATGAATATTTTATTTACAGCGGTTTTTTTTTAATTCATCATGCCTCGCGAATGTTGCTACTGATCAGGCAACTGTACTGGCGCATGCAACTTTATAAGAACAACAGATGCCCAAATATAATTCGCAGTTCTATTAGGCCTAGTTTTCATTCGTTTTGGTAAAATAGGATCAATCATACACAAAGATGACAAGCGGCGTTTCACGGACAATCAATAAAAAGAGGACGTACATATTTGCCAAAAGATGGCACAGTAGGATCTCGGGATAACAAAAGCCAATTGATTGGTCTTATCGAGGTCTTTGTTCTTTGAAGACATTTAGTGTACTTGGAAAAAATCGTTCATCTCCACTCCAAATTATTCTCGAAACGCCTAGACCGACCAGCAGTTTGCCAGCATTAAAACCGTATTGTGGCAAAACAATTAAAATATGCCCTTAACACTTCCTCGGAGCGGCATTTTGATTGGGGAAGTTTGTTGTCAGAGAGAAAAGGGCAATAAATTAATTTCGTCAAGCGTGCATTGAACGCATCGCCCTATCTACTATCTTCAGATCCCTGACTTTAAATAAATACTGTATTGTGTTCTGATTGTGTTCTGTCGCGGAGATATTCCAAGTGAAAAAGGGACTGCTTGAAAGACGCTATTAGACGATATTTAACTGGATTTTGCAAACCCATCTTGAATAAAAAATAAAAAAGAGATACAGTGGGGCAACGAACGTCAATTAATTCTTAAACGACAAATACATATATTATATTATATTATATTATATTATATTATATGTGTGACTATTTTATGTATGTCACGTAAAAGTCGCTTCAAGTATGTCCGAAGACACCGATTCCGTTTTCTGCTCCGAAAAAACTGAAGAGTGGCTGCGCTGTCAAAAATTAACGACAAATAATAACAAGCGGCAAAAACCATTTATCCAGAAGGCCGAGCTTCGGCTTCGGTGGAGCGGAGCGAAGTGCCAGCGAAGCACGGACGGCCCGAAGACTCTCACAGAGATTAGCGAGACGGGACAGTTGGGTAACCTGGACAGTGACGGACCGAGGCCGTTAACACGTTGGACACCTGCTGGTCTTGGAATAACATAAGTCGGCGAAACGCTATTATATCCCTTGCTCCCACCACGATGAAGTACTGAAAAAGTGGTTCCCAGTATCCACATGCTTCCCTTTTCCCTGTATCCCAGTTTACACAGTTTATGCAGAAATATAGTAAGCATCAGTGATTAGAACAGTTCATCTCCTTGCGTTAGGTTTTGGTTTCTAGCTACTACACTTTTCCAGTTCCTCTGAAATGTAAGACCTGCTGCTTCTCACCTGACGCCTCTACGGCTAACAGTCCCAGTCATTCTTCTACAGGGAATGCTTCATGAAGGTGTCAGACCAGCATGCAGGAACATGGCTGCTGGATCGATGGAGGAACTTGTTCCAGAAAATGTAAGGTTTGTTTTGGCGCTGAGAGAACCATTGTTCCAACATTACTGCAGAGGGCTGTAACGTGGCGCACCTCTGAGGTCCGATTTGTGTTGGACAGAGCTACAAGGACATTAGATTATTTCTCATGTTATCTCAATAAAAGGCCTTTAACTGAATATGTCAGCGACACAGGCTGTCTCCAGAGTAGGCCCGGGGTTCAGATGGGCTATCTCTGTCCCATCCCGCGCTTTCTGGGGCTGACCCATGAGAGAGTGCATTGATGGTTCCCCATTGTGTTGGGATTGTCGAGGGACCAGGATAAGAATGAGCCACTCAGCGTGCTCTGATAAGGGCAAAATACCCGAGATAAACGCCGGGATCACAGCACCTCTGTGAGCACACAGGCCGCACCCACGTCTCCCTGAAGAAATGTGGTCCGTCTGACTCCTGACAGGTCAGCGTCATCCGGCCAGACGCCTCTGCGTTCAGAGACTTTCAGCATGCCGGGATGATGGGAGGGCGGCCATCTTGGACTCGCTGCTGGAGGCTCAGGAAAGAGGAAGAAGGTGGCAAAGAGTGACTGGATCGATCTAGTCTATGTCTGTTTGTTTCTTTAATGGGAATATAATGAGTCCAGGGACTAGAGGTTAACTGGAAGCATGGCTAGTGACCCAAACGGAGCCTGGATACGGTACGATTCCCCTGTGACCTCTCCTCATAACCCCCCACCCCCCCCATCCCCACTGAGGCTTGACGCACAGAGCGGAACATTTGGAAACTTATTCCAGGTGTCTTTAGGGGACAGAAGCAGCAGATTCACGGCGAGGCCGTGAGGTTCAGCCCCTGGGGAGGATGTCACGTTCCACACAGTGAGCCGGACCTTACCCTCTGCCCGCCTGTCCCCCCCTCCACACTGGCTCTGCCTGCCCCGCAAGCCAATCTCTCAGTTTGCCAATTTTTGCTCCTTCTGTCCACGCCAACTACAGCCGTCCACCTTTGTTGCTTCCCACAATGCAATTCTTCAATCTCGTGTTCAATGCATACTTCACTGCCAGGTATCTTGTCTCGGCATGCACCGGGGTGGCAAACCACCTACAGCCAAATGTCATAATCTGCAGAAAAAAGCTAATTCATAACGTAAGAGTATGCCATGACCTGCTCAGACATGACATCCTTTTCCTTAAGTGATTAGATCATTAAAAAGGAGCAGAAGTCACAGCAGCTGTGGATTTGATGCGGCATTATGTGTGTCTGCATCTCAGCTGCACTTTTCAACATGCCAGAAAACTCAAGGCTGTCAGCGGATTCAGTGCCACCAGGGCCACAAATGGCATTCTCCACCAGGCCTAGGAGATTCGAGGCTCTGATCTCCACCAGGCCTAGGAGATTCGAGGCTCTGATCTCCACCGGGGCAGAGAGATTCGAGGCTCTGATCTCCACCGGGGCAGAGAGATTCGAGGCTCTGATCTCCACCGGGGCAGAGAGATTCGAGGCTCTGATCTCCACTGGGGCAGAGAGATTCGAGGCTCTGATCTCCACCAGGCCTAGGAGATTCGAGGCTCTGATCTCCTGCTGGAGGTGCAGGTTCTGCTGGACTGCCATCGCAGAAGCGCTCACCTCAGGAACAGTACAGCCCCCGGCCCTGAGACACAGCCTGCCGATGATCTGGGACCCTTTTTGAAGAAAAAGCAGACTGTAACAGGGAGGTGCAGGGTAACGGGGTCTGTCAATAGCCACGGGCCAGGGAGGGTGCGCCTGCTTCTTTCAGTCTATCATGTTTGCTTTTCTGAGTGCATGAGGAGTGCGTGTGGCCTGGGGTTCGAGCCAGTCTCTCTCTC